CATCAGCACAAGAAGAAGCCTCCCTGACTTTTCAGAGATCGAAGGGCGCCAACTGAGGCGGAAGATGGAAGATTATTACGTCAGACGAGTCGAATCACGTGATCACCTACAATACTGTACATTGCTTGATCAGATTGGTAAAACATTAACCCGAGAAAATGTGGATGATATGAAGTTTTTGTCACGAGGTGAGAGTGCGCCATCTACGATGAACTTTGATTATTGTGTAAAAGAAATGCAAGACAGTCGAATGGTTATTTTATTGTAGTGATGCTCTGGAATCGCAGAGGGTAGGGAGGTGTTAATCGGAATGCACCATATTCAGTGACTGAACTATCTAAGCACATATTTTCAAAGACGCCCTCAAGTGACATGTATGTTAATTACGTTTGTTTTCCGATAGATCACGTAAAACCAAGATCAATCCTGTACGAAGTTTTCACAGGTGAACAGATGCTGGCGCTATTGGAGGGACAACATTTACTGGCAGAGAATAGTCTGGTATTTTTACAGATGTTGTCTTATTATATTGGGAGGTTAGACATATACAACATGGTGGTAGAATTCCGTAAACGAAGACAAAGACAATTACTCAGACAAGGTTATGACATTTCCCCTGACTATCAGAGTGAGTATACCCCCCCAACAGCTTTGCGATTGTCATTGGGCAACTATTTGGCCCCCCCCCAAAAGCTTATGTTGCCCTCAAGTCGGAAAATTGAAAAATTGGGTCGGTCGGTCGGATTTTTTTTAAACTCTCGAAAACTAAAGGTATCGTAAATAGCCGAAGTATATGGGAAAAAAACGTGACCGGATATTTCATATTTTTCGGTCGGTCGCTGAGGGCAAGAAAACAATTTTTTTTGGCCTTAGGTCTCAGACCAGGGAAAATAACGACGTGGCTCTTGCTAGCCAATTAAATTATGTCTGTGAGGGCGCACTTCGATATACTGGCTAATTTTTCGACGCAGTTGAAAGACAAAAACCTTCGTCTATTTGTGTGGCATATCCATTTAAAGTATGAGAAATTGAATTGAAAA